CCAACCCCTGTACCCCCTCTGCTAATGGATCGAAGTACAGTAACAGGGTTCAACATTAACTTTTTATTTCACTAGACCATCGGGCTAGTAACTGAGGAAAACCACTAGCCCTGAAAATTCAACCCGACCGACGGCAGTGCCCTGCTGTGCCCTTTTCTGTAATTGCCGGCGGTGCCTCTGGCTAGACTGGTTCGCGACCGCACTGTTTGTCGCAGAGCGTGTACATTGTCTAGCAGAGCGTGAGGCCGGATACCAGTCTACCCTTCGGCAAAAACAATAACGTGGCTGCCCGTGGTAGAACACGAATATTTAAATGCTGCACGTGGACTCGGCCCGCGCGCGATTTAAAGCGCAGTAAACGACGCTCGCGCAAGAATGGCCAGCTTGTACGGTGTGCAGCTTGCTAGTTAGTGCAGTAAATTTAGAGAAATTTTAGTAGAATTCATATGATGACACAAGGTTTTTCATAACAATGGTCTGGGTCTGGGCTAGTGAAAGTTAGGTCAGGGCTAGTGGTTTTCCTCAGTTACTAGCCCGATGGTCTAGTGAAAGTTAGGTCAGGGCTAGTGGTTTTCCTCAGTTACTAGCCCGATGGTCTAGTGAAATAAAAAGTTAATGTTGAACCCTGTTACTGTACTTCGATCCATTAGCAGAGGGGGTACAGGGGTTGGTGTTACGGTGTTATAGCTTACATGGGGGCGGAAGACGATGTACATGTGGCGGGAGACGGTCTGTACATACACGGTAAAAATTTTATTAATTTGTTATGAGTTTTCCTTTATTTTACAAAAGTGCCTTGGTGCCCTTCTCAAATTGTGAGAGTTGCCTTGATGCCTTTTAAAATTGCCTCGGTGCCCATCCATTTTAGAGAAGATTCAAGGCAATTTCTCACATGCCACCAAAAAATTGCCTTGCCCCTCTCGTCGCTTAATTCGAGGCCTGGTACCAGGGTACGTTCCGATATATCGAACTGCACCCAGGGTACCCTCTGATAGTACCCTGGGGGACATAGACCCTCTCAGCCTAACTAACCGGCGAGAACTTGCTTGCCTGTTTCAGTGTTACTGTTTCAGTGTTTCAACTGTTTGATAGTAAATAACCTTGTCAATTTGTCATGTAATTATTGCTATCATTATCTTATTTAAACGACCCAAGTGCCTATTTGGGCTTCATATGGTTTGTGTCTATGCTTAGTATAGAAGGCGCTTAGGTCGTGTTAGTCGCGTCGCGTCGCGTCGCAAAAGTAGAACATCGTCGCAGGGACAGTTGCAACCAGTTGCAGAAAAGCAGTCGCAGGTAATCGTGTCGCGTCGCAAGGCCGAGCTAAGGCTGGCTTAAAATGCAAACATGCCTGATCCAGTGATCGGGGATCAGTTATCAGGTGAATCCTGCACACAACCTACCTAATAAACTACACCACTTGTTGACCTACAACAAACTTGATATTTTGGAGAAGTGACAGAACTTTTAGTTTATGTTGGAGTATAATAGTGGGGTTTTTTGTAAATTTTATACCTATATAACCCTGTAGCCTCATAAATAATAGTCTTCAAAGTCTAAGGGACTGTATCGAAGACGGAAGGAGATAAATTGATCAAATAGAAAGATCAACACTGGATTGCAGGCGAAAAAGCACAATGTATGCACAAATTGCAAAGAGTTGACACACGTACATAGCCCCTATGTATACACAGGTAAACTCAATCAGTTGGAAGACAAATACATCAAGCTGTGGAAACAGCACATGTGTTGGGATTGTCAAAAGTAAACGTATCTAGAAATGCAAAAGTCATGCCGATTTGGCAGTAAAAGCAGAGGTTTTATGGGATGTCACAAATTAGCTTCAGATTAGAAGGCACATCAGACCTGACATGCCTGACATGCAAGGTCTGTGGAGAATCCTGCAAAATAGTTTCAATGTTAATAGTTTTGCTTAAACAGCATTTGAATGCTTCTCTACGTCACACAATTTTTAATAGAAGAAGAATATTGTATATATATATGGTATTACAAGAATATCATAATGCCATATTAGATATATCATCAGAAATGTGGTTTAATATCTTTTTTATTTTAATAAATTTTTACATTTACTCTACTGATGCTTAGGCCTAAGAAAAAATGATGTTTGTTTCCGCTACCGAGGTGAAAAAAATTGGACACGGTAGGCAGGCAAAACGTTTTTTTTAAACTTTTTTTGCGTGTGCGTGTGCGTGTGTGTGTATACTATATATATGTAAACTTTTTAAAAAATTGGGCACGGTAGGCAGGCAAAACGTTTTTTTTATCAAATATTTATTTTTATTTTGTTATATATATATATATATATATATATATATATATGTATATATATATTGAGCTATATACACAAATCAATATCAAAACTTTCAATACCAATTACGAGATATAGTCATACGCAACATTAAAATGATCAACTAGTCTTATACATGTTATACAAGGGTATAAATTACAATAAATTACCATCATCTGGATAGACATCGTAGTCCTCTGGTCTCATGCCATACTTTTTAGCAGCTGCTTCTCGTTCCTCTGCTGTTTTCGGATATGGACCAGGCTTCCAATCTTTGTTCCAATACCCTAGATGACAATGTTACCAGAACAACAATTTTAACACATATCAAGAATAATAAACTTTAACTTAAACTAAGCCCAAAAAATTGCAAGCTTTATTAGTATATTAAAATTCTTATAGACATCAGGAAGTGAACTTTAAAAAGCAAGTTGGTTGACCTGGAGTAGAGTGGACCTATATATATATATAGCAGATTTACGATGCAAGAGGATTTTATTGAAATCTACATTCAATGATTCAGATGCAAGACAAATCTGTGAACAATAACAAGAATAATTATTATGCCACAGGCACTTGGGCTATTTCAATAATGAAACGAATTTCGAATTTTGGCAATTCCACGAAAAACGTTCAATCAAGTAAAAACATTAATTGCCTAGTTTCGTGTAGATTGCCTTTAAATGAAGTCTAAATTTTCATATTTTAAGTCATACTGGCTCATGATAACACCGATGCTGAGGCTCACTGCAAGCACAATTTAACAAAAAATTTTTTAGGTACATTTCTTTGAAATGCGATTTTATGAATATAAATTAGCCAATTATGTCGTAGTATAGTAACATATATCTAAGGTTATTAAGTACTCCATAAGGTAATAAATTCACTTGAATTGCATGTCATATGAATCAGACTCCTGTTTTCTTACTAGATATGAAGACATAATTCCTTCGAAAGAAAGTATGATAGCTTGGAACAAAGCGGACAAACTGATGAATCAGTATTCATGTCCGTTACCCAGAAAGTGCCATATGCCCGTTACCCAGAAAGTGCCATATGCCCGTTACACAGAAAGTGCCATATGCCCGATACACAGAAAGTGCCATATGCCCGTTACACAGAAAGTGCCATATGCCCGTCCGCTACGCACCATTTTTTAATGTTAAGAAAAAGATAGTTCGCCTAAATACATTTAACGTTGTGTTGCATAGTCTAGAGGGTTATTTCGAAGAATTTTGGTATTAGAGAAAAGCTGAAAGATATAGCCCATGAGCTCACAGAGTTTTCCATGATGTGCTACAGTACAGTAATAACCCTTGTCCGTTTGTCTTGTCATTCGTTATGGAAACTCAAATGTTCAATCTCTGCGAACTGGTTGGTGAAATATCACATAGACTTATCATATACATCAGTGGCTGTCGAATGTTAGCTAATGCACAGAGTTAAACAATATTTCTTTCGTTAAATTTGTTCGTAGCTGTGCCTTAATGTTTTAGAAACTGTCTGGCATCTATATGTTCCGTTATTGCTGGAATTGCCCAACATTGTACTTTAGTACTAAAATCTAAATGTTTACGTTTCTCTATTGTCTAAATAAATCCACACAATACTGGTGAAAGGCCATGGATGCTAGGCCCGACACGCACAGCACAGCATCGTGAAGAGCGGGGTAACAAGGCGGTGACAGCAGAATGTTACCCAATGCTCGGCCGCCGGTGCACACCTGCAGACGCACCAACATGCACAACAAACCACAGGGGAGCAGAGGAGGGGGGCGATGCGGAAAACAAGGGGCGGCACGGGCACGACAAAGAACACGGGCACACGAGGCGCTACAGCGGAAGTGACCCAAGATTGGATTATTTTTGTTCTGTTGCACAGAGGCCGGCTATGAAGAGGAGCTTCTCGCCTTTTTTATCGGGGGGTGAAAAACGGGAGCGAATCTTTGGCAGGTTATGGTGAGGCAGCGGAGAGGCTGTCTGTGACCGCTTTCTGCACGATGGATTTTAATGTGTAGGGGCGCCGTAGGTTCATAGTTTTGTTGCTAAGCTCTGACAGCAAGAGGGGCTGTTTTGTTGCAATAGTTGAGCGGGTTATTTCGGAGGGACTTGGTGGTTGGCAGGGTTGGTTTGTTGGGTTTTTTCTGGGGTCATTGTTCTGTCTATGTTTTTAAGCTTAGTTGTTTTATTCCTACGGTAAACTATTTTGATATTATGGTCCTGTTTTTTTGTGCTAAGGGTTGCGTAGTCATGGTATTGGGCGTCGTTGGAGACGTAACAATTGGCACTGCGGCGGCGTTGTCGTGCATCTAAATACTGTGCGGAAGGCGGAGTCAGTGGCACGTACTGGCAGGTGACAAAAGGTTGATTTTTGCTTTTCGGAAAAGGCTGTTTTTTTTTTTTTTAGTGAGGAGACCTGGACCTTAATGGTGCATTTGATTGGTTCTAACACTTAGAGTATAGGTCATGGAGGGCGACCACACAACGACCAACAGGAAGCTTTAGTGGTATCGTGATGGTTTTTTTTGGGAGTGAAGGCTTGTTTGGTAACCAGGTACAGATTATTAGGTATCCGTCTGGGGGCAACGAGTTTGGGTGGTTTTTTCCTCGGCCGGCACGCGGGCCCAGCGGCGGGGGTGACGGTTTTTGCTATTTCGGTGGCATATTATTCGTGCTCTATTGGTGGCACTTTGATGTTTGCCAGTGATGTGTGCTTATGGGGTTTTTTTGTTTTGTTGAATTTACGGTGTCTATGGACATGTGTATTATGACATGTGGTGCCTGATTTTGGAGAGAGCATTGAGAGCTTACTTCATGAGTGTAACGGTGTGGTTTGTTGTCTTATTAAGTATCCATGGTGTCGTTGATGATGGACTTCACGAGCGGTTG